TTTGGGGAACAAACTCACTTCCTGCTTGGACCCTCATCATTTAATTGAGAGCATGCTAAACAAAGCAGGTTTCACAGGGTTTTATGCATTCTTCCTTAGGCCTGATGGCCCTAGGGAACCTGCCCTTTCCAGCACAGGGAGCACCCACCACCAGCATTGTTTCAGGCTTAAGTCAGGCAGGGCAAGTAAGGCAGCCAAGAGATTAGGAGGTTTCTTGCAGACAGAATGAGGACTCAGGTTATATCAAAGCCAAGGGGTGAGGGTCCCTCACCCCCTTTTGCTATAGCCCCCCCAAGTCCTTCCCTGGGGCCTCCCCATGATCATGCCTGTCTTAGGTCGTTCTCCCCTTGAGCAATCTTACTTGTCATTGGCTAACTAATCAAGCATTGGGGGTCAGTTATGGATGAAGTAAAAGGAGCAGAAGGGGCACTCCTGCCAGGGTGATAAGCTTCGTCTCCTTAGTGGCTTATGGTCAAGAAGGTCAGTCACTCAGCCTTAGCCAAGGCGGGGTTACAGCTCCTGAAACCAGGCAGGGCGGTCCCCAACAGGAATGAAGGGGAGAAGTGCACCTACAGCCATGAGTGAGGAGGCTGCGGAAACTCTCTAAGGCAGAGCCAAAAGGTGTTTTAACAAAAGCAGCGACAGGATGGGAGGGAGAGGGTGTTTCTGAGAATAGTTAGGCTCCATCCTTGATGTTAAATACTGCCTCTGGTTCTAAAAAAGTCCCATCGGGGGGAGAGGAAGAAAGCAGGGTCCTGTATGCAGCTTTTCACTTGGTGACAGAGTGCACCATGCCGTTGTGGGAGGGAGGAAGGGCGAAAAGAGCTCCTTTCTAAAGGAGAGCCGTGCCACACCAATCTGGTTGCACGTGGTTTGTGCCATGTGTTGGAGGTAAGCCAGATGTCTTGGCCTCTAGTAATGAAACCAGGTATCAGTGTCTCAACAAAGACACCCACTAACAGACGGGAAGGTGGTCAGTTGCTTACAAGAAACTCTGCCTGATGTAAGAGCGCCGTATGAGATGATGACAGTTTCTGTGGGTCAGAACCTTTGGGGATGAAGGCACATGAATTTTCATCTTGGCTAATGTAATCATGATGTGCCTTGGTGTGTTCCTCCTCGGGTCCACCTTCTTAGGGACTCTGAGCTTCCTGGACTTCCTGGAAGTCTATTTCCTTTGCCAGATTGGGGAAGTTCTCCTTTATTATTTGTTCAAATAACTTTTTCACTTGTTGCTCTTCCTCTTCCCCTCCTGGTACCCCTATAATTCGGATGTCGGAACATTTAAAGATGTCCTGGAGGTTCCTAAGCCTCTCCTCGCTTTTTTGAATTCTTGTTTCTTCATTCTTTTCTGGTTGGATATTTCTTTCTTCCTCTTGGTCCACACTGTTCATTTGGGTCCCAGTTTCCTTCCCATCATTACTGGTTTCCTTTACATTTCCCTTTATTTCACTTAGCATAGCCTTCATTTTTTCATCTAATTTGTGCCCAAATTCAACCAATTCTGTGAGCATCCTGATTTCCAGGGTTTTGAACTGTGCATCTGGTAGGTTGGCTATCTCTTCATTGCTTAGTTGTATTTTTTCTGGTGCTTTGATCTGTTCTTTCATTTGGACCATTTTTTTTTTTTTGTCTTGATGTGCCTGTTACATAGTGAAGGGCGGAGCCTTAGGTGTTCACCAGAGTGGGCAACCCACATCGCTGCTTTGTGACACTATATGTGGGGAAGGGGTCTGAGAAGGAACAATGGCACTTGCTCCACTCTCTGCCAGGTTTCAGTCACTTCCCTCACTACGCACAAGCAAATTGGGCCCTTCTGGTGCTGATTCCCCGGCAGGTGGGTTTGTGTACGTTCTAGGACCCTATGGATCTCTCCAACAAACTCTCCTGTGAGGCTGGGAGTTTATCCCACTGCCACCTTGCCCCCCACAGGTGTTTTCAATCAGTGGTTTGAGGCTTTATTTCCCCACACTGGGGCCCTGGGTTGTGCAGTCTGTCTCGCTCCCCAATTGTTCATGCAGGTTTATCTGCACACGAATGTGGAACCACCCAGTCCACTAGCCTTGTGGGCCAGCTGCAGCCTTGCCTTCTGCATCCCAGGCTCCCCGCCCACAATCCTGCACTAGGCCCGCCAGTCACTGCCTTGCCTGCCCTGGTCCTGCAGCCACCACCTTGCTGCAAGTCCTCTCCACGCACCCGTCTCTGCCCCTCCTGTAGGCATGGATGAGTGTGTCTATTTTAACTCCTTGGCTGTTGGACTTCCATACAGTTCAATTTTCTGTCAGCTCTGGTCTGTTTTTCATTTTTAAATTGTCCTTCTTTTGGTTGTGCAAGGAGGCACAGTATGTCTCCCTACGCCTCCATCTTGGCCAGAAGTTTTGAAAATCTTTTCAACAGTCACTGCTAGAATAATTGGATAGTCCCATGAGAAAAACAAAAAAAAACCAAAGCAGCAGCAGCTCAATCTGTACCTCAACATTATACACAAAAATGAATTTGAAATGGATCAGAGACCTAAATGGAAAAGTTTAAATGTTTAATAAATAAATGTTTTAGAGGACAGCATCTCTAAGACTTGGCATAGTCAAAGGATTTTTAGTTCACAGAATGTAAAAATCATGCAAGACAAATTGGCAAATTAAACTCATCAAATTAAAAACTTCTGCTCATGGAAAGACAGCATTAAGAAAATTAATAGGCAAGCCACAGATTGGAAGAAAATATTCACAACACATATATTTGTGAATAACCTGTACCCAAAATGTATTTAACGACTCCTAAAATTCAATAGTGAAAAGACAAACTACCCAATCTTAAAATGGGCAAGGGACTTGAACAGACACTTGGTGCAGTCCCTTCCCACATTAACTCAAGCCTTGGCCAGGTGTCTTGCTGTAACCAGTGGAACTTGAGTGAGCCAAGTGCTGATGAGCACCTTGGATTGCTGGCTCATGGCCACCCTGAGCTGCCATGTACGAAGTCCGACTACTCTGCTGGAGAGACCACATGAAGAAGCCGTGTAAGGAGACCATGTGAAAATAGAGACAAAAAAGAGAAGGCCAGTCATCTCGGCCTCCCAGCTGAGCCTTAGCCAGATTGCAGAATGATGAGAAATGAAGTGGTTGTTGTTTTAGGCCACTGATTTTTTTGGCGGGGGGTGGGGGGGGGAGGTTATAGGTAGGTGGGGAAATGAAGCAGGGAAATAGCCTTTGCCTCTCCAAAAAGTTGGAGGGGGAGTCTGTTTTTTTTTTTTCTGAAGAACAATATAATAGAATTGAGGGATTTGGAAAGTGCAGGAAAGACCACTAACTACACCCAGCTCAGACTCCTTCTCTGGACTCCCTCCCCAAATATAAGTGCCCATGTCACCTCTATCCCTCCATTTTTGCTTTTCAAAGATGATATATAATGTTTGCAAATATGCCAGACCCTAAACCGTAAGTTCTTGCAGGTTAGAATAGTCTTATTCATTCTTTTCTCCCGAGTCCCAGCACAGTCGCTGGCATATAGAAGCTCAATACATGTATGTAGCATTAGCTAAAAGTCTGTTTTTGAAATTTGGCTGAAATCTGAAACATCACACCACCTCTCTTAGAACTGTTGCCTTAACTTCTAGTCGTAACTTTCAAGTAGTGGAAACATGGAGAGGTCATTTGATCATATGCCCTTTTAGGAGGAAACGGAAGCTCAGAGAGGAAAAGGCACCTGCCAGAAGTCACTCCGCCAGGGGCACCCTGCACCCACGCAGCTCTGCTGGTCTCCTGGCTTCCAGGTGCCTTCTCCCTTCCACCTTCCTCCTGCGGAGCTCCAGGAAAGTAGAACGCACCAAGACTCCACCTTATCTCAGTCCAGGGATGTGGGCTTTGCCAAGGTCTTCACACTGGAGAAGGCCTTTATGTCTCAGTGGAAGAACATTTTCTTTAGTCTGTGCCCATTCCTTCTTGCAGACCCTCGCCAGACCGCGCTACCAGGATCTTAGACAGATGTGAGGAGTGCGGGGAGAACCTCTTCCCTGGAGCTCTCCAGGCCTGGATGCCATCGCCCTGAGCCCACCCCAAGTCGTGTGGGTCCACTCGCACTGGGGACAAGGGTGCACGGAGACTTCCTAGGCCACCAGCACTGCGGTGCGTCAGAGCGACAGCCAGAGACCTTGCTGCTATGGCAATGAACACCGAGACCTCGTTAGAAATACTTTACAAACTTATTTTAATAGCCGTGCGGACTTTGACCAACGAATGGTCGTTTGTATTCTCCTCAAGCAAATATTCCTAAAACCCCATTCAGTGTGTGTGTCTCTTTCCTGACCTCGTTCAAGTGCAGGCAGTTGTGTATCCCTATAGCTACCCCCCTGGCAGCGTGGGAGACAGCTCACAGCGCTAGGTCAGGCTGTGCCCTCTCCTCGCTTCTTTCTGTATGTTACTAGAACTTCCGGGAAGTAGCTATTTTCCGTGGTTGAAGGAGCCAGTCAGAAGAGGGGGATGCTAAGCTCTCTGGGGCCTGGAGAAATATTGAGAATTCACCTTCAGTTGCTCTAAAATTGTCATTCTCAAACTTGACTGCTCTTTAGAACCACCGGGGAGCTTTACAAACTAATGATGCCTGGATGTCAGCGCAGAGGTCTGACTTCATTGATCTGAGATGTGGCCTGGGCATCTGGATTTTTTAAACTCCCCAGGTTATTCCCAGGTTGAAGACGACTGAAATAAATTCCCCATTCTTCTAACCATCCTGAAAAAAATCAAATTCTTAGCCCAAGACGTTGGTCTTGGGGATCTGGCCCCTGTCCCTTTGCAACCTGCCAGCTCCACATGTCCCGGAAAATCTGCGCGGGCGACGATGCTAAACAGGCCGCCGCGGAAGGCGGGGCGGGGGCGGGGCCACGCGCGGCCCCGCCCCCTATACGCCTATCGGTGCGCGGTGCGGGCCCTGACGTCACTCTTGTCAGGGCCACGGCACATGGGTGGCCGGTTGCGCTGAGACCAGCGCTGCGGAACGCGGGGGAGCAGCGGCCACCGTCGTGGGGAGGGGGGTGGGGTGGGACCGCGTGTGGCCTCGGGCGCTGGTGGGACGGGGCCGCGGTGGCGCGGTGCCTTCCGCTGTTTTACGACGGTCTGCATATTTTGTCTTTCTTTTTTGCAATTTTGAACATTTGACAAGACGAGGGGTTCAAGGCAGGTGAGAGCATCCGTGCGGCGGAGCCGGCGGGCACTTGGTGCACTCTCCGGAGACCGTCTGCACCGGGGACCGGAAAGTTTTTTTTTTTTTCTAATGCAGATGTATTTATAAAGATATAAGTAATTTTTTTCTCTCTCGTCTCCAAGCGAGTACTTTTGGCAAAGGACGGAGAAAAAAACCTCAGCAACATTTTGGGGGTTGGCGTTTTTTTGTTTTCGTTTTTCTTTTTTAAGAAAAAAATATTTTCAGCGCGATGGAGAAAATGTCCCGACCACTTCCCCTGAATCCCACCTTCATCCCGCCTCCCTACGGCGTGCTCAGGTCCTTGCTGGAGAACCCACTGAAGCTCCCCCTTCATCACGAAGACGGTGAGCGCTGCCCTCCTGGCTGCCCCGCTCTGGGAAGGGACGGCGCTCCTGGGGTCCCCCTCCTCGGCATGGCACCCTGGCTAGCTCCCTGGAGCATCCAGCGCCCGCTCCCACCCCCTGGCCCTGCTTGAACGAACTGGAGGAGCCCTCCCATCACCCCACCCCTCCTCAAGAACTGGGGTCCTGCTTACCAAGCAATGTTCAAAATAGCCATGGGGACCCGGCCCAGCCTCCCTGGGTCCCAGTCCTGCGGCGCAGGTGGGAGAGGTAACTTGACAGATCAGTGTTTCCTAAAAAAGGCTTATCCGCCTGCAGAGTGACACCAGCTTCGCCGGAGCAGAGCTGTTCCGGCTGGGGAGGAGAAATCAGGGGGCTTGCGTTTGGGCAGGTCGGGGCTCGGGTGGGGGTGTCTTACTGCCCAGGCTGCGTATTATGGTCATATTAGTGTTTATGTTGTTAGTTGTGATTTGGAACGCAGGAGGTGTGAACAGAGTCGCGTGTTCTCCAGTGAAGAGTAATTCAGAAAGGGGGGTGAGAAATGGCATGGGGTGGGTGTCGTCTCTCGGCGGGAAGCCGTGCACGCCTCCAGCGCTGACACTTTCCCCCGTGCACTTTCTTGGTGGGAGGGGAGAGAGGAGCAGCCTCACGTGTAACCGCACAGGAGCCTCCTCTGGCTTGAGCCCTTTCTTGGTAAGTCCCAAAGCTTCCCCAGCAACCTTGGCTGGGGAAGGACCCGAGGGGTCGTGCAAGGAGGTGCTGAACCGAGCTGGTGCCGCAGGGGTTTTGACATTTGGGCTATTGCGGTTTCTTGCTTTCTGTATCACAGCAAATGCGGGCGGTGCGGCTCAAAGTCTTGAAAGATCATTTGGCTGCAAATATATTGGGAGTGCTGGCGTCGTCTATCCTAGCAGGAGACAACCTGTTGCATTGCAAACGTGGAGGGGTTTGGTTCGCGGTTTGCGGAGCACAGCTTTCCTGTGACTACCCTTTAAGGAGTAGCGCTTGGGAGGAAGGTGCTGCCAGTAATCTTTTTTGCATCCGTTGTTGTTTTAAATCAGATTCTCAGCAGATGAGACTGTAGTGCATTAGAATGGATGACGTGTGGAGGCTGTTTCTCTGAGGAAGAAACTCTGAAACCAGATTCCTTAATCCCAGATTTCACCAGCGCCTGAATGCCACTAGACTTGGCAAAATTCAGAGCGCTGGTTAAAGCCCTCATGGGATGAGGCAATACTTCCAGGTAGAAATAGCTGCATACCTGTGTCATAGGCATGTAGAGTGACCACCTTCTCCATTAGCTGTGCTTTTGATAGGTTGCATACATGCGTAATTTTTTGTGAATCGGATTATACTTAAGTGTTTGGAGGAAGGGGAGAAAGAAAGCACTGTGTATTGAAAACAAAACCAAAAAACCCTCCTTTTGTAAAACGCAGTGTTGCCCCATGGCTTTGGAATCAAACGTGTGGGAACTCAGGAGGTGTGCTGGGTTTCCTTCCACGCCAACACAAGGTATTGGTCAAGTTCCTTCAAGGCTCAGGGTCTCCATTTCCTCATTATAAATGGGGGCGATCACTACTTGCAAGTTGATCACAACATTTTTGGAGGCAATTCATGAAAAGCCAACTCACTGGCTTTCCAAGGCTGAATGACTTCGTGTTGCTACTGTACTGAGTGTGCCTGGTCGTTGCCTGTTGTCTTTAAAGTCACAGCAGTTTTATGTCATTGCAGGCGTTGTATTCCCACCGTAGATTTCGATTATGTGTCTCCTCAAATAGTGCCCTGAGGTCTGTGCTCTCTTGTTTATATCCTAGAGCAGTGTGGAGCCCTGTCCTGAGGACAAGTGCTTTCTTTCCAAAGTAAATAGGAAGATGTTGAAAAACAGGCAGAGATCCGAGTCCTGCCTGAACTTTTAACTCTGGATCCACAAAAGCCAGCAGCCAGACGGCCCTGCTGTTCGTGACTAGTGGTTTCGTAGCAGAGTCCAGGAGAGGTGGTTAAAAAAAAAAAAAAAAAAGAAGGAAAAAGAAACTTTTTTTTCTTTGTTGAAGTCCAATGTTCCCCTTTCCTTGCAGCATTTAATAAAGACAAAGACAAGGGAAAGAAGCTGGATGATGAGAGCAACAGCCCGACGGTGCCCCAGTCGGCGTTCTTGGGACCCACCTTATGGGACAAAACCCTCCCCTATGATGGAGACACTTTCCAGTTGGAATACATGGACCTGGAGGAGTTCTTGTCCGAAAACGGCATTCCCCCCAGCCCTCAGCATGACCACAGCCCGCACCCTCCCGGGCTGCAGCCGGCCTCCTCAGCCGCCCCCTCCGTCATGGACCTCAGCAGTCGGACCTCCGCACCCATTCACCCGGGAATCCCGTCCCCGAACTGCATGCAGAGCCCCATCAGACCAGGTAAACTCTCAGAAGGCTGTCCGTCCAGAGGGGGAGGAGGGCTGAAGGGAGGGGCAGGGTGGGGGACGCATAAACACCTTCAGCAGAGGGCACTTACGTCGCTCTAAAAGAGGAGCCTCGTACTGGATGAGGCAAATACAGGTTTACAGCTGTTTGTATGGAAAATGATGCCATAATAAATAATAATGCAAGAATAAGCTGTTTTGCATGATCACACCGTAAACCTCTGCGCCCCCCCGCCCCCAGCCCATGTTTCATCCACAGCAATGAACTGTGTTACCTGGAGAGCTAGGTAATGTAGATTCTGTGGACACTTACTCTAGAAATTCTGATTCTTCAGCTCTGGGGTCATGGCCTAGGAATATGCATTTTTTAACCAGCTCCCTTGGGGGTTCTGATGAAGCTCACCCAGGGACTGCGGTTTAAGAAATACCAACTTACAGTTAATGCTTCGGACAAGTCTGGTGTCCATCTCCTCTGCTGTCTCTCTTCCCCATTCCCCAAACACACAGATAGTAGGCTCTTGCTGAAAGGTGTGGGTAGGCTCTCTGTGAGGCTGTGGTGTACCCACATTCATCCTCATCTTGGTCTAAAGGGAAAAATAATATGAGTTTTGGGTGTGCAGCAGATAGCTTTTTTTAATCTTTCCATCTTGTGTTGTCAGGAATTGAGAAATTGCATTGAAAAGCAGTTCTCATATTAATTATCCGTTTTCAACACCAGAGCCTATATTTCTCTCTTCAGTATTCCTGTAAACCGAATTGTTCTCACATTTCTTTTTTTTTTTTTTTTTTCATTTTCATCTGCCTATCCCACTTAATCTACTTTTGTGAAAGCCCTCGAGGCCGCAAGGCTGGCTGTAAATAGTGTTGAAATGTTACACAAACGTCACCTGGAATGACCAGCGCCTCAGTGCCCACTGCTGGGTGCTCAGACGCAGACCCGCGCTGAGGCTGCTGTGGCTGCAGCCTCCAGCACTCTAGAGACAGCACTCCTGTTCATTTGGTCTTCCAGCACCAAATGAACAGGAAGAAAGGCCATTTTCTGTGCACAGGTAACTAGGAACAAAGATTCAGCCAGATAAACTGTCGGGAAGGTGGCGGAGCTGAGGGCCTTCGCTGCAGGGGAAGACAGAAAGCAGGACAATGGGCGGCTTGGGCTGCAGATCCCTCCTGCACCCACTGTCCTCCCCTCGTGCAGAATTTCTGTGACACAAAGAGCAAGATGAAAATGAAGGAAACGATGCGAAGGAGGAAGAGCACACCCCTCTCTTGAGTGTTATTCCTGGAGTTAGAGTTCTCCCATTCGTGGCTCTCTGTGCTGGCCCCTTCTCCGAAACCTACTTTGAGTTGTTGCAACTCAAAGCTACTAGACTGGTGTGGTGCTTAGCTTTAACCTCTGACCAACCCCGGAGGCTGCAGAAGCTTGGGGAAAATGTTCCTTCATGTGAACCTGAGTCCCTGTGCCTAAGCATGCACAGTGGCACTGGCTTCACTTTCTTCCCAGGAACACACAACCAGCAAAATAACCAAAGTGGGGGGAAAAAACCAGGGAGAAGGGGACAGAGCCCCAGTGAGGAGGCACAGCTGCGTCTCAGTCGTCCTGCTCTGCAGAGTGAGATGTACCTCTCTGTAGCTGTTTGACCTCACAAGGTGACAACCTCTTGGAGCCTCAGTTTCCCTTTGTGTAGAATGGTACAATTTCTCTTTGATTGGGGTATGGTGAAGATTAGAGATGGTCTGTATAAAGAGGTCAAAGGACTACTAGCACAGACGTTCTAATCATGAGAGCAGTTATGGTCGTTATTTTGGTGTCAACTTCTATCATTTACTCCAACCCCACCCTGTCTCCTGAAAAACCTACTGAAAGGCATTGGGTACAGTGTAACCTCTTCCTGAGAGAAGCCTCGGGACGTTTGGACCAATGGTGATTGGATTGGGGTGTTTGAACCCTAACACTTTCATTCAGTTGACAAGTATTTCTTAATCCTCTGCCAAATACAAGATATACCACGTTAGAAATACCATATCTTTCCCCCAGAGGCATGCAAGTACTAGGTCCCCACAGCTCGGTTCCTAGTGAGAATCAAGAATCAGGTTTTGGGGGTTTGAGGCTTCCGTAAAAGTGATTTGTTGTCAGAGTTTGTAAGGATCGGTATTCACCATTGACTCTCAGGAACTCGAGCTGCCCCGGTGAGACTCACCGTCCGTAGCCCAGGGCCCCCGAGTTTCAGCAAGTGTCGTCATTCATTAGCTTTTGGAGGAAGGAAGGACCTTAGGATCCAAAGGGACAGTGGGACCTACAAATGTTTAACTCATCATTTAAATGTCTCTTTTTGATAATAGAAACACACTCCCAAATAATCTTCTTTCAGTTGAAAACTCATGATACTTCTAACAAAAAAGGAAGAAAGTTAAAGCTCTTTTTCAAATACCAGGTGCAGATAAAGGGACTCCCTGCTGTTTATACAGTGTTGATCTCCAGGAAGGTTAGGTCGGGGGTGCGGCCCTGGTGGGTGGTGTCTCACTAACAAACCTGAAAAGGGAGAAAGTTTCTGATTGTGCTGTGTAATCACACCGGCGGCCAGACTAGATATACCACTTTAATCTCGGGGGGAAATGGGTCCTCAGAAGGGAAGCGCACATCTCAGTCTTGGGGCAGTGTTGGTGTTCCAGCAAAACCTTTGCTGTGGGGACTGTCCTGTGCACGGTCGGAAGTTCACACACACACACACGCGCACACACACACGAGCTGTGATGAGTGAAAATGGACCCAGTTGCTGCCCAGATGTCCGCTGGGGGCAAAATCATCCCTGGTGAGAACTACTGATGTAGACTTTCAACTTGGACGGCAAACTCAGGGCTTAATCCAGGACTGTCACACACGCATCGAGCCTTTGTACCTCTAGTAACGCTCTGTACGAAACCTTCGAGAATGTCGGGAAGCGGTCAGGTTTCCAGAAGCTGTACCATGTTAGTGAGAGCATCGCCGTACACTTGCAGTTTATAAAGCTATGGCATCAGGTTAATCCAGAGACAGTTTTCAGAGTCATTTTATTAAACATTTATTTTCTGCTATTTGCACCTTTTGAGCTGTGCTCAGTCACACTGTGTCATTCGGGCGTCCTGTCTGGCGGAAAGGGAATGGAGCCGTAAGGTGACCCACTGTGCATTTCTAGGTCTGCCCAAAGCGTGTCTGGGCATGACGAGACGAGCATTCTTGCGGATTCTCATACTCTCTGCTGTGACCGCCCCCAAGCCCATTTCCTACTTAATGTGCCCACCCTGGCTCCTCTGACCCGACAATGGATCAAACATCTGTAGAAATACACTTTTTCTTAAAGGAACGACCCAAGCGCCCACTGAAACCTCCTGTGGTTCTGGAGAGTCTGCTAAGCGTTCTGGGCTGACATCCTAGTGAAAGCAGAAAAGGGTGGTGGCTGGAGCTCTAGCCACCTGCACGAGCTCCTCCGCCACTGAGGGGTGCCTTCCGGGGTGACCCAGGCCGGCCGAGATGGCGGAGCCATCCTGACCCCGGCAGTGTTTGCGTGTCGGATGCTACCAGAGGTGCTACCTGGAAGCGCCGGGTACTGTAAAATGAGGATCTGTTTGCCCCGAGAGCTGAGCAGTTGCTTTAAGGACAGCAGTCCCTTTAGGGAAAGTCATCTATAGCAGACAAAGGCAGAGTTATTTTTAAATCACATGCTTGTAAAGCCAGAGTTGAAATCGTTTCCTCTGGTGGTTTTTCTTTGAATAGCTTGGGGGTGTCCTGCACTGTTAGACCATATTCAGCTGAGAATTGAGATGGCTCTTTCCTGCTCTGAGCACCGAGACTGTGTTAGGATGAGGGCTGGTCATGGAGTGAAGTGAAAACCCTCCCGTGTGGGGGCCTGTGGGCAGAGGGGAGCTTCAGCGGGCAGCTCAGAAGAGGGGAAGGTCGGGTGGAACCTGACCAAGCCGGGTGCGCCTCTTCCAAGCTGGACTTGGTGGTGTCTCTGCTGACCTGCCCTTGTGAGAAGGTCTTGGCGTGGAAGGACAGTGCTGGCTCTGGGATCTGACTGACGACGGGGCGAGTCCTGTGCTGCTGGTTCTGCGGAGGCTGGAGGTCCTGCCGAGGCACCGGCACTCGCTTGCTTTTCCCAGACCTGTGAGGCGAAGCTGCAGCTTCTCCCTCCCCTGACATGCAGGCAGTTCCTACATTTCTCCACCCAGCGTATTGACATGTCTGCAGGTTGGGAGCGTCATGACCGACAGTTGCTGTGCTCTGGGCCCAGAGTATCTTGGAAGAGCCTCAAGATCAAGAAGACCATGCAGAGGGGAGAGTCAGCTTTGGGGGCGGGGGGCAGGCAGACTCTTCCCTGTCTCCTCTAAGAGTTCATCTTCTCTGCCAAGCCCTGAGGAGGACAGGCTTGCCCAGTCTCTTGGCCTTGTCATGCTCTCCCACTCCCAGGGCAGTAGTTCCCAACCTTCTGGCGAGAGGTGTTTTCAGGGAGGTGTGGACGAGGGCAGCGTGCTTGTTAGGGGCCTAGGCTGCAGTCCCAGGGACGTGGGTCCACAGCCTGGACTCACACTGACCTTCTGTGTAACTGGGTGTCAATTTCTCAACCCCTTTAGGCCTCAGTTTACTCATCAGTAGAAGGAAGACTGTAAATAGCCCCCCTTCCTGGGGCTTTAGCTGGGCTCAGGAAGATACCATGTTGCAGAGGGTGGCACAGTGCGTGGCCCAGGAAGAAAGACCCAGTCTTTACTTGGGATTTGTTCCATCCAGTCCCCTTCCCCCTGCAAAAATAGGACATGTATTTTTTTTTTTTTTGTCAGCACTCCCAATATTCTGTGCAGCCTGCTTGACTCCTCTCCTTCTGAGTTAGGACAAGTCACCCCCCCCCCCCATGTTCACCCAGCAGCATCACTTCTGAGCTAGCACCTCCTGTGTGGAAACAGCCACACGCTTGGTGCCCTGCACCATCCCCACTTCAACCCCCAGCCACTCCAGGGCCCAGCTCGCGTGAGCCCTGGCAACCCTGGCCGCCTGCCTGTGTGACCATGTGCTTCAGGCACGTGGCTGTGCCCTGCAGAGCTCGCCCGACTCCGGGGGGTGTGCTGGCTTGCTTCCACCCCCGCTCCCCCCCATGCTTGCTTCTCTTCCCAGGAGAAACCCAGCAAGTGCCAGTGAGAAATTGTAACGCTGACCCTGGCACGAGAAAGCTGAGCTCTGTAGGGCGATGCAGATGCCAGGGAAACCTGCTCTCTTCCACACTCTAGCCAGACCCCAAACTTGGCCCCGTCTCCTCCCGTCTGCCCAGAGGCCCCCGTCTTCTCCGCATCGCTGTGGTGGGGCAGCATTCCTACAGGCCAGCTCCTGCCAAGGGTCTTGGCAGAGTCTTTCCAGTTCAGCACTGTGCTTACCAGACTAGAAAAAACCGCCGTGCGGAGGCAGAACTAGGTAGAGGAGCCGGAAAGGGCCGGGGGAGGTGGGGGGAGTAAGAGCCTTGAGAGCATCTGAAGGGAGAAAGCCCAAGGAGGAGAGGACAGCAGTGATTTATTGAGCTTCTCAGAAACTCTCTGCCAACCAGCACTAATCACTTTCACCCAGGAATCATTTTTTATGTCTCAGCAGTGAAAATGGAGGGAGGAGGGAAGGTGGTAGGGGGGGAGTAATAAGATTTAAAAAGAAAAAAAAAACATTGGAGAAAGAAGACGAGGCAGAAGGACAGGGAGGCGCAGGGCCTGCCTTCAATTCTCTAACGGGAATGGGTGAGACTATTTTTCATTCCCTGTAATATTTGGTGCTGCCCCAGCGAGTGTCGGCCTGAAGCCACCAGACCACCGTTTTGGAAGAAACTTGCATTTCCTTAAGCCACAGGTACCTGCTGGCTCCCCTTGCACGACATCCATCAGAACGGCTTGTGTCTGAGGCCCAGTTCTGATAGAGGCAATATCGAGGTGCGTCAGAGCATGAGATCCCGCCGGCCAGCCAACCTGGGCCGACTCCTGACGGCGCGGTGGCTGCTTGAGGTCTCCGGCAGGTCATTTAAATGACCCGAGCTTCTGACTTCCCATCCGGAACTTTGGCATAACATTGGACCTGCCTCACAGGGTGTAGAGGGTCCTAGGAGCCAACGCGCATGTGCAGTGTTTGGCACGGAGCCCGGCACCCAGGAAGTGCTGCGAGAGGCATCCTTGCCACCATCTGACCTCATTTTTCACGGGAGGACCCAGCCCTGCAGTCTCCACGCTTTTCCCTTCCTAGCCGATGAAGGCCTTTGAGCAAGCAATTTAAATTTCTTCTCGGCTTCTCCACCTCCATCTTCTCTGCCTCTCTTAGCCGCTGAGTTTTAGGTAACCTAGGGTCACTAACTGTAATCTTTATTTATTCTTCCTCACTCACTAGGTTAGAAATCAAACAAACCAAATGCCGTTCACGGAAGTTCTTGATCAGAAGATTTCTCCATGATAAATCTGCTAGCAACTCACCCACTCCATCAATGTTACTATTGCATTTTTAATAACAGACATTAATAATTGTACTTGACGTAACATAATGGCCTCAGGGGTAAAGAAACGAGAAAGGCACGTTCCGGTGTTGGGAGAGGAAAAAGGTCCAGTCCAGTTCGTCATCCTCCTGCTTACAAGCGAGACTTTACATAGGCACTCCAGAATAATAATTCTGCTTTCCCCGAAACGGCCCTCTACTGGGCAAGTCCTTACTCTTTCCGAACCTTCACTCTCTCATCGGCAGAGTAACATCTTTGTTGGGTTTGTGTGAGCTTTCTAAAGCGAACATGCACGAAGGGGCCAGCGTGGCCCTCCACCACAGGTCAGCTTTGTTTCTTTTCCCTGGTAAGTGGTCTGAAGGTTAGAAAGCAACAGAGAAGCCTCGGGAGCAAGGAGCAGTGTGGATGGTGCCCAGAAGCAGCTCTGGCTTTGTGCTGCGCCCTGCAGCCGACAGACAAGAGCACGGTTTGGCTGCCGGTCTCGAGGAGATGGCAGCGTAGTAGGGACAGTAGGGAAGACAGAACATTTAGGGGAAGGGACAAGCGACAGAACAAGCTAGCATGTTCTCCGTGCCAAATGATGGATTCATGGAAGCTGCTGATTCCTGCAGGAAGGGGAGAGTGAAAGAAAGAGAGTCACGTCTTTCAAAATGAGGGAGGAGCGCGGACAATAAGACCCACCAGACCTCACAGGAAGCAGCCACTGCCCAGGGCAAGAGTGCCCAGGGCGAGGCTTCTTGGAAGAGTTGGACCTTCTGCTGGGCCTAGAGTGAGAGGTGGAGGAGCCCGAGTGGTGCGTGGGCAGAGTTATAGAGGCAGGAATGCCCACGGGGTGTTTAGGGAACAAGGTGCAGATCCAGTTGGCTGGTGCAGAAAATTCATAGGAAGGAGTCAGGGAGATGAGTCTGGAGAGGCGGGTGCCAGCGAGGCTGGCAGCTGTGTGAATGCCAGGCTACAGTGCTTGAACTTGATCCAGCAGGCAGTGAGGAGCCCTGGAAGGTTTTTTCAGTGGGGAAGTGGCATGTGGACATTTCCACTTGGGTTCAAGGTTGGATTGGAAACATTTTTAGATACTTCACAATAGTTTCCTCTGGCAGACCGGGACTTCCTTATTATTATTGTTTGGAAAATAAATAGTCTCCCTTGAACATCAAACAGCTTTTCAAAACATAGTGTTCTAATGATCTAGACAAAGTAATTCAAAAACACAGGGTTTAGGTTTCACTTATAAAGCCCATAATTTGGGTGATTGGGGGAAACACTCTTTGGCAAGGAAATAATTTGAGGGATTTGAATGGTTCAGAATTTAAAAGTCTAAAAGCAGGCCTGGTCTCATAGGAGTAGAAAAATAGATTTTAATAAACCTAAACGCATTAACATTCATCACATTTAAATGCTTCTACTTTATGAAGCTTGCTAGGTTTGCAAACAAGTATAGAGAACGGATTTCTGTGAGTGTGTGTGTGTTCGGTGTGTGTGTGTGTGTATCCGTATGAGTGAAGGAGAATAAGAAAGCAGGCGTTAATGCCTCAGTGATCCAAATAGCACTTGCTTATAAGCATTACCTGCAGCAGTAATATCAAGCTAAAAATACTTAGCTACGTTTCTGGCCAGCTTATTAATTTTACTCCTGAGAGACAAAGGAGTCATTATTACCGTTTTGCATTCTTGAGTCCTGACCTTATATTTGTGGCTTCCTTCTTCCCTGAAATAGGAATTAACCACACAGCGCGCTCAGATAAGGTGGCGTGGGGTGGGTCCGGGTGTGCGTTCTGTATTGGGAGTACAGCTAGAGGAATGGAACTGGGTGGGAGGCCCCGGGCTCTGGGAGAGGTGGCGGGGGGGGGGGGCTGCTGAGTGGCACCGGCATGAAATGACTCGTTCAGGTACCCCCGAAGTGTGCTCTGATGTCAAGCCAAGATTACAGAGAGCCAGGAGTTGTCATAACCCACACCGGTTCACTTAAATAAAAAATAACAGTCAGCGTGTGCAGCTTCACTCCCAGCGATGTGTCGTAGACAATTGCAGGAGTGTTGGCAGAGGCGAGGGGCTGTTGGAGAAAAACGACCCAGTACTCGTCTCTGCTGTGCTGGCTTCTGGCGCATGCACACTCCATGACTTGCTGTGGGAATTCCCAACTCGTCTCCCTCCCTCTCCGACTCTTACAAACACTGTGATTGTCTCGGCTGCCCGCCCATCCGGCTCAAAATGGGGATCCAGTCTTACTTTCTGCCCTGAAAAGCCACCCAGGTCCCCTGTCACACAAGGCCCTTAAAAGTTCTGTTTCTAGAAGTTCAATCTAGGATTTTGGTTTTTCATGAATGATTTTTGGAAGATGTGTTGGGATTCAGGGTCTTAGAATCAGGGATGGCACACGGCTAATTAAACCTCTTTCCCTAGATCCCCACAAACCGAGCGCGTGCACTGCTGAAAGATGCTCCGGGGAGCTACCACACTAAATCATCTGTGACCAGATGCGCTCTTAGAAAGGGGGGTTGCAGAAATGGATGAGCAGAAACCAGTGCTTTGGCAGAGACTCCTTGAGGGGGAAAGAGCAAGGCTGTCTTTTCTAATTAGCCCTGGGTGACAGGGTGCTGGGATGTCTTTGCTGAGAAGCCCTGGCACGGACAGCAGAGCAGAGGGTCTCACTGCTGCACTTTAAGGGGCAGAGTTAAGCAAGGCTGTCCATTCATGCACGAGAAACGCCTCTTGAATGGAATGGGAAAAGCTAAGGTTTGTTTTGGGGAAGGGTGCCTCCAGGCCCTGGCCAATGGGAGCCCGTGCTGCAAACCAGATGAGCAAGATCATCTACACAGGCAGTAATCAGATTACCCAGAACAGAGGTAACAACACACCAAGACCAGCGGAGTTCGGAGGAGAGTGGCAAACAGTTCCACTCCGTCTGCCCGAAGGACGGAACAGAGAACTTAATTCACCTTCGAGTGGACTCATCATGCTGCGGCCTTAGTACCACTGAGGGGGATGATGGAGGGAGGCTTTTGCCAGAGAAAACTGGAAAGAGAAAATAGGATGGAGATCTCAGATCCAGTCAAAATAATGCTGCTTTTAAAAGACCAAAGGCCACCGAAAGATTTATAGAGGAAACCGTAGGTTATATAAAATGTATAGATAGAAATAAAGCCTGATAGAGCTGCTGAGAATAAGAAAACATAGTTTTGTAGAACTGACTTTGTAAGAAATGCATGGAATTTATTTCATTGCAATTGATTTCTTTATGTTAATACGCTTTCCCCAGGGAGGTGGGCGCCTTTTTTTCCCCCCAGTAGAATCTAAAGTATCTTTAATGGCAAGTGACACCTGAATAATTTTTAAAATATTCGCATCCATGTCAAAAAGACACTTTTTCACATTATAAGTGAAATTTACCCAAACATAAGAAGCCAGTTCGTAATATCTAGTTCTTGAATTCCTTAGAAGTTTGAAGATGAATGACAGGAAGTTTCAGTAACGAAGCAATTTGCGTTTACTAATATTCTGCTTCTCTTTTTACTCGTAAGCCAGCCTGGCGGTAATATTTCCACTGATGCAGATTCTGTGATCACTTGATCCCGAATTCATTAAACTGAAATTATCTTCTCTGTCCTCTTTATAAAGAAAGATACTGCCAAACACATTAACTATGCACACAGAATCTTAGAAGGCACACTTATTTGTGTACAAAACCGGCTGTAAAGACCTTAATTGTGTGTATATAAATTGTTCTTAATTACAGTGTACATTTAGTAAACAGCGAGAAAACTTCCGTCACGTGACATTTCAGGAATTCGGGTCAGTAAGTCCACGGAATCATTGCAGTTTCTCTTTGTCTCCAACCCCAACTTGTCCCACCCCACTAAATGTTTATATTTTTAAACTTCAATTTTCAGTATCATTAGGTGGAATCAAAAGAGCATTTTTGCTCGTTTAACTACCATCAGAGAGCATGTCCCAGACCAGTCCCCAAGGATGCTGGCCTCCTCTGCAGTTTGACTAATGAAACAACCATCTGTTTGAGCAACCTCCTCGTAGTCTTCCCTTGTGTTCGTCGGCAGGCAGCATGAGGGGGTGGTTAGACCTCTGGCCTCAGCTTCCACCGTGGCCCTGCCATTGACTGGCTCCGAGGCTCTGCCACCTTCTCCTCTGTGTGTGGGGCCGGTAACACCTGCCCCCCGGCACTCCTGGAGGAGCCAGGGAGATCATAAATGGGAAGTGCACAGAGCAGAGCTCCAGACGGGAGCGGTGGCTTTCATCCCTTTTATTTCTATGCCATGATTACTGTTCCTTCTCCTCTTCTACCCACGTAGTCATCTATGGACGCTTACGTAGGAGCCCTTCTTGTGCTGTAGTAGTGATGGCCGGGAACTGCCCCCCACCTTTCAAGCCACTGTAGGGCAGAATGGGGAATGAAGAGGTGGAGTGGTGAGCATCCTGTCTGTTGACCTCCATGAAAGATGTGCTGCACCGGCAGACGCCGGCAGTGGTGGTGGTCCTGCCCCAGTTCATGGCCCGCCTTTATAGGGACCTTTCTTAAGAAATGTGGGCTCCACAGGCCAGGGCTGTGTCTTTTGTCTCCGTCCCCCACTATCCCCTGACTCTGCAGCCGGAAGACCTTGAACGGAGTGCGGGGTGGTGAGAGGTAAAGGGTGAGATGGAGCTTCTGTATGTTTCCTTGCACACTCTCAGGACTTTCCAAAACATGTCATCAGGTTTGCGGCTCCAGTTTTCTTCTTTTTCCTTTTTGGTGACAACTTAGGGTCATGAAGCGCAGAACTGGCAGGTCCCCTAGTTGCTGCTGATGAGCGGTCGAGTGGGGACAGGCAGGACGGTGGGTCTCCAGTGGTAGCCGCCTCCCCGGCCTTCTGCTCCCCCTGGTGTGAGTCTCTCAAACACTCTCCTCTTCACCCGCCTACGAGACTGCAGCCTGGCAGGGAGGCCCTGGAGAGCAAAAGTGGGCCCTTCTGTTGAAGTGGAATGGAAATGGGGAAATGGAGAAAACAAAAGTAAACCAGGTGGAAGACAAGTGTGAAAATACTTTTTACTCCAAGGGGATGACCGCAAGTGGCCGATTCAAGCACCGGTATTCACCTGATGGGAGGGTTTTTCAAACGCATTATCGGAGCTGTGCAGTTCTTGGCGACAGTCTGGACATAGTGCATTCCGTGTTGTGAGTGTGGATGAGGCAAGAGAAGCTTTTAAAGGTACACCAGCCCTGTCCTAAGGACAGCAAGGTGCCCTGGTGGCAAACCAGGCAAGTCGCCCCCTCTGAAGAGGGATGTCTCATTCTAGTTCTCTCAGCATATTTTTATATCCTATCAGATATCTCTGAGTTTCATAAGAGAGTGCGCACAAGGCTCCTAAGTTTAAATCAGCTAAATGCATATGAAACCATAGTAATCCAGAGCATGTCTGAAAGCCGGGATGGTGCTAAGCACTTGAATGTGAGAGCTTGTCCGAACTCAGCTCACATTAGAAATGGTGTTGGCCCCTGGCGCTTCGTCTGCCCCAGGAGTCTGGAGTGTCTCGGCTGCATGGCAAAGGTGTGTCTTCTCTTCTCTTCATCAGCTCTTCCCTTCTGATTGCAGGCAGCTTAAAAATACATTCGGGCGTTTCTCAGTGGCCAAAAACCATATGGAGATCAGGATGAAATCATCTGCAAGGCAGAAATAACAAGCTTTCCTAAAGATGTTCAGAGAAACTCGGCCCTAATAGCATCACCATCTCACTGTCAGACCCCTTAGGCACTAAACTAAACTGGACTTGGAGTCCGATGTCTCCCGAGAAGCCACGAGACCCTGGACCAGTCACCTACGTGCTGAGCCCCTGTTTTCTCGCCTGGACCACGGCAGGACTGTCATGAGGGTTGAATTGCACTGAGTGGGCCAACCAGTGAAGTGACCTGGACCTGGGCCTGCTCAGAGCCGTCACCTGGAAGGTTTAATGTGGAGTGGAAACCTGGCCCTTAAAGATCCTTTCCTAAAATGTGCTTGTAGTTGAGTCTTCTGAGTCTCACTCCCAGATTTCTAAGTTGCTGGCTGAGGCTGTTTTAGACCCACGGCGCCCCCCTAGGTCCCCTGAGAGATCCCATGTGTAGTCACAGCTGCGCTATTGATTAGAAGTAGAACCCTAAGCCAATCACCGGCCTGTCTGAGTTTTACTTCATCTTCTGCAAGATGAGAACAGTCTGTGTTCTTCTAACTTACAGGTGTGTCATCATATCAAACAAAAAAAGTGGCCAAATAAAAGCCCAGTCGAAGCATAAATTGGATTAGCATTATTATTGCCACTGGGTTTTAGGTTCCCCCATTGGCAAGAGGGGAAAACACGTAGCAGCAGTTGTAAGGTAGGCCGTTTCCAAAGAGCTCTGGGTTCCAGAGACGGTTGCCAGGGTTGGGTTGGGTCCCTCAGCGGGTGACTGAATCTCCCCAGTCCTCAGTTTTCTTATCTGTAAAACGTGGGTGCTCTTTCTAGCTCACGGACTCTGTGTTCTAAGACTACTGTGAACTGGAAGATTAACACTCAAGTTTTAGTGCAAAAACGTCAAGCCTCTTGGGGTGATGATCCTGTTCCCAAGCGCATGCATGGATTGAAGCTGGCGCTCTGCCACCCATGAAGGACAGGTTTGAAAACTTAAGTGCAAAGCAAAAGGCAGCTGACATATTTGAGGGAAAAAATGCAACTGCATTAAATCTAGTTATTTCTTTAAAAATTGCTTGTATTTTGGTCAGGAACCACGGCTTCTGTGCAGGGCTCAGCATTCCAGAGTAAACCTGAAAGCGAATTATCTGGCCAGAATGACTGCTCCAAGGCTTGGGTTTGGTTTTTTATTGTTTGGTGTTTGTTTTTTTAGCCATGGCTTGTTAGCCAGATGAAATAATTTTTAAAGAAGAATAAAAAAGGAGAACCTCGAGGCCCACAGCTCAGTCTTTTAGTGGCAACTTTTCTGGAAGGGCGGTGGCCGCCTGTGCTCCCGGGCCGCCCCTCTGGGCACCTGGATGCAGGTTCAGAGGGAGTGGGTTCCGTCTCACGGCCACTCTGATGGACTCGTGGGCGCTCAGGATGTCACCTTGACAAACTGAGGCTTGTTCTGGGCTCTGCGGAAAGAGTTCTGTGATTAATTTGGACGGCCGCCATGGGCCCCAGGGTTTGCCGCCCAGACAGAGAAGGTTGGGAAGACCCTTCAGTACTTGTTCCTCCGCTGGGCACAAGGTCAAGGACTCGAGCCAGTGCTGTGTCCCGTGCCCTAGCAAAGTGTGTTTCCAAGCCCCTGGCATGTACTGCTTTGCTCTCTGAGAGGGGCTTATTCTGGTTAGCTTAACAGAGAGAATGGAAGAAGGGCAGTCTGTTGATTCTGCTCCCTGGCCACAGGACAGGAAGTGCAAGGTTGAGGGAAGCTGTAATTCCAACAGTGCCCGTCAGATTCCTGTGGGTCCACAGGAGCACAGGCTCGGGGACTCAGCACTCCAGCCACAAACCACAGAGCCCAGCTGGCTGTGGCCAGCGGTCATGGCTGTGGGTCCCCTGGAAACCCGGCCCTCAGAAGGAGCAGGAGGCTGGTCCGCAGCACTCCGCACCCGGCGATCCTTGATAGTTAAGACGGAAATGCTGTCCCCTTCTTCAGGAAGGCACTGGGGAATTTCCCAGGTGACCTGGGGTTTGGGCATGACGTTCAGTTATCCACGCTGATGGAGCCAATAGTCAGAAGGCTGTTTCTCTTCACCTTTGGAATGTGCTTCATGTCGATCTGCTTTCCTGGATGTTCAAACTCTTCAGATTTTTCTTTCTGTAAAAAATGCTTGAGGAGGAGCTTGGTGCTTTTCACAGCTCCTCCATTTGCTTTCCATAGCCAGCCAAACGCCCCAGAGGCCTCTCGGTCCCCTAAGTTTAAATCCGAGAACTGCACCAAGTGGAATAATAGTAACTGCATCTTATTAAGCACTTACCATGTGCTCCCTGGAGCAAAGGCCACTCTGAGACAGGGAGTGGGCTGAGGGGCGTGTGGGGCAGGGCGGGGTAGTGGGCTGGGGTTAAACATTGTCCGTGGAGACCCCACAAGAGCTCCCTGGGTGTGGACATGACTTCCCCTGCTACTGCGGTTTCTTACTGTTTCCGATGGCTGCACTTGAGCTCTGCGTAAGATTGGCTTTCAGTTTTCCTGAGGCTGATGGACTGGTTTGCAGATTAACCATGGTGAAGGCTCACCTGGGCCTGGGAGGTTCCTGCTCTGTCATTAGCTAGTTTTGGCTGATTGCCTCCGCATGGTCAGGGAGCCAAGAAGCAGTGTCTTCTGGGACCTTCTACCCCCTTCAACCAGAGGAGCCCACTGGCCCGTAATGCCCTGCAGTCCCCAGTGTAGTCCCTAAGAGGTTCAGAAGCTCCCTGTGGTCCTGGAACTCTGCCCCTGCCACCTTTTGGCCCCAGTGCAATCTCTACATTGGGAAGATCAGGTTGGCTGGAGGGCATAGTGAATTCGAAAATCTCAGAAATTAGGGAGCTAATATGTTGAAAGGAAGCCCTAAGAATGAGGCAGCTGTTCTCCTTTCCTCCTCAGCCTGTGGGGCACCCCCTCCCCCAAATGTAGACTTACAGGCTTGAGGCACTGAGCAACGAACCCCTCCTGAGGTCAGAGGAGGCCAAGGCCACAGTGGTAGCGAGGCAACAGTCGCCTACACAGGCCCTGGCCCGGTGGCTCAGTTGGTTGGAGCATTGTCCCGTACACCAAAAGGTTGCGGGTTTGATCCCCAGTCAGGGTACATACCTAGTTTGTGGGTTCAGTCCTGGTCAGGGCACAGATGGGAGGCAGCCAGGCCGAGTTTCTTTCCTGCATCTCTCCCCTCCTCCCTCCCTCCGCCCCTTCTCTATCTCCCCTCTCCGGTCCTCTCTCTCTAGGATCAGTGAACAGGTCCTCGAGTGAGGACTTAAAAAAAAAAATTAAGAGTTGCCTCCAAAGGAAGCTCCTGTGGTCACGGCCTTCCCACAGTGATTACACCGTATTTTTTGGACTGTAAGACACACTGCCTCCCCCCCACCCCCCAAATTTGGGAGGAATAATGGTTGTTAATGCTGTTGTTGAGTTCTGTTTACATTTACATTGGTGAAATATTGTTATTTATGGTATTAAATATTTTACCACATTTTTTGCTTCAAAAATTTTTTTCCTATTTTCCTCCTCTAAAACCTAGGTGTGTCTTATGGTTTGAAAAATACGTTATTTGGGTTGCTAGGAGTCCATCCCCATGGCTACATGGGGTCATAGGAAGTTGGCTGCATTTGCCAGGTCCCTGTGGGGCTTGGGAGTAGAAAGAAATATGCATATTTGCCACACCTTATCCCAGACCAGAACACACACCATTGAACCCAGGCGTCCAACTCCTTCCTTGCTGAGAGCGATCTCAGTTTCCAGGCCACGGAGCCTTGGACCCCAGGTTTACTGCAGGTCTCGAGAGAGTGTGCATGGAGGACTTTGGTCCGTGGCCCGCCGAGAGAGGATGCACATTTGCAAAGGGCCCCGTGTGATGGCTGTCCACGAATTACCTTTATGTCTCAGGCAGCTTTCACCTGAGCCGCTGCTATGGCCTTCCATCTCTGACTGTGTTTGCCTTCCGCACGCGGCAGGCTGGAATGCCCGGCCCCCAGACAGCCGAGTCTGCGGGCAGCTGCTGCCCCTTTTCAGCCAGGGCCACGGGTTTCCTCGGGTCCTTCGCTCTGGCTCACGTTTTTCCGGGGCTGCTGGTGTGTACAGTCTAGAGATCACATTTTATTAACACAAAGAAATCTGCCTGGGCTGCCTGGCTCTCGCAGTCACGTGGGGAGAAATGTGCTCCTTCGCTACGCCAGCCTGCAGCTCTCTGTGCAAAAGACAGCCGAGAGCCGGGCACCGGGCCAAGCTTACATTTCACTGTGGAACACACTTTCGCATCACTCCTTGGCAGAACATCCACGGCGGTGTCTATTTGGGGAGTAAGTTAGAGAAGTGTTGTTTCCCTCTCATGAGTGTCGAGAGACAGGACCTTTAGAAAATGGCTTTCTCCCATCTCTGTCATCTTCAAGGTGCCTAGGTAACAAGGTGGTCCAGCTCCGCGTGGCACCCTCCTCCGCAGAGACACCTCCTCCCTGCCAGGTCTCTCCAGTTTCCCATGCTAACTCAGTAGGCACGTCCAGGACCGCCTGGGACCCAGAAACTTAGGCCAAGGTACTAACATCAAAACCAAAGTCCTGGAACTCTTGAGTAAACGGGTTAGCCTCCCAGATAAAACAACTCTGTTGTCCAAATCTTTCTTTCCAAAGATCTAAGCCTTTTCAAATGTTGGTCCAAGGCCAGCCATCAGAGGAAGGAACTTCAGCAAGGCTCCTGGAATGGCAAACACTGTTAAAATAAACATGTGGACATCTTCCATTCAGTTTTCCCGCACCGGTCTATTTTTGTTGCTTTGGCCATTTTGTAGCGCCCTCCCCTCTCCACCTCTCCTCCCACCTCCCTCTTACTTTTCTCAGGGGCCAAGCTGACCCTTTTACCTTCAGTAGAATAAGTATCTAATCTCAAAAAGAGGAGGTGGTATGATTTACTTCTCGCAGTATTCCCTCACACTCGGTCCTTGTATAGGTAGCTGTCTGAAGCCTGACTGGGGTTTGGAAATAAAGTTGATTTTGGAAGCTTAAACCCTCCTCAGAAAAGACCAGAATGGTCAGGAAACAAAGACTTATTGGAATAGCACTGACTTCTCTTTTCTCAATGAAATAGATGCCTCTTGTAACCAGTGATGGACAAGCTCGCCCTTCCCCATCACACCAGCCCATAAATCCCACAGAGATTTCTCGAGTGCCAAGCCTTATTCTGATCCCGGTGTTTACTGCCTTGGATCGTGGCCTTTGCTGCCGGTACTATCCAGCCACGTGGCAACTCATCGAGATTTAAGGAAACCTTTCCAGCCCGCTGCATATGCCAGGCTGCCGCTCCTTCAGGCGGGCCACCAATCGGGAGCCCCCACATTGTAGAGGCTGCCCAGCACCTCGGGGGCCAGTCCCCTGGTGAAGCCTTTGCTCACTCTGCAAAAGGGAGGTGACAGAAACCCATGCCACCTGTCTCAAAAACCTGCTAGTAATTAGCTTTAAAAATAATGCCAAGTCCTCACATGGCTGGCCGGTAGATGCCTAAGCTCAGTGCATGGTGGAGAGTGTGCCACTTCACAGAGTCCTGCTGTTGCAGTCACATTCGTCACCCCGGCTGAGTTAGATGAGGCTGTTGGAGGGAGGACAGTCGCCCTGCTGTTTCACCGAGGTCTCCTGAAGGGATTGAGGAAAGGTCGAAGTTCGTAAGTGTACTTGGAACTTTGTACCCCCACCCCTTTGTAAGCGAGATCGGTTCTTTTTAGGCATGTTCTCTTTGGTGAGGGACAGAAGCCCTGGCAGATGACTGAGGGCGATCTGCGGTCAGTGTCAGGTGTCACTTCGCCCTTGCGCATCTTCTGCTGGTGTCTTAGCTGTGGTAAATGTGTAAGCCCTGGCTGCTTGTCATCTGCCACCCAGCAAGACAGCACCTCGAGGCTCATATCCCCTGCCCCCACGTGGGGGGGAGTTCAGGCAGTGTGGCGTCACGTTGTGATTAACTGAAGCGATGCACGGTGCGTTTTGCACAGGCAGGACGCTTGTCACTTAGAATGGACTGCATGTAGCCTACTTTGAAAATCTGGAGGTCCCCCTGCCAGTGTGAGTCCTTTAATCATGAGAGATGTTTTTTTCATTTTGCATGAAACATGTGAAGGTCTGTGAAGTGCATCTCCCGAACTCCCAACTATTTCTGTACTCACGGTGGGCGCCCATTGGTTGACGCACTGCGCTTCACTCGGAAGCCCCTCCCTTCACTCGGAAGCCCCTCCCTTCACTCGGAAGCCCCTCCCTTCACTCGGAAGCCCCTCCCAGGCAGGGACTGAGCAGGCTTTGTCTCCAGCACCTGAGCATGTGCTTTACACCAAAGTCGCTACTCAGGTAACTTCTTAAGTTGAATCGATGAGAGTGATATTGGTTAATAAATTATATAGGTTTCAGGTGTTCGGTTCTGTAATAGACCATCATCATGTGTGTTCACCCCAAGTCAAATGTGAACCCCATCACCACTTATGCCCCTTTACCCTCTGCTGCCCCCACCCCTCGTTGCTCCTGGTGATCACCCGACCGGTGCCTGTGTCTATGAGCTGCGTGTGTGTTTTATCTTTGCTTAGTCCCTTCCCCTTTTCCGCTTGGCCCTGTAACCCCTGCATCCCCTCTGAGAGCTGTCAGTCTCTTCTCTCAGAGTCTGTTTCTACTGTTTACTTTGCTCATTAGATCTCACCTGTAAGTGAAGTCACACGGTACTTGCCGTTCTCTGAGTGGCTTATTTCACTTAGCACAATGCTCTCTAGGTCCATCCGTGCTGCAGCAAACGGTTTGTTGAGTGAATGAAATGACAGAGACCTATCATTATTATTGATTTAAAGAATTCTTGTGCCCACTGTGATATCTTCAGGCGTGCTGGCAGAATTTTGTTACAGCTGGTGCGCCTTTGCGAAGGGCCGTGGTGAGAGGACGCAAGCCCCCCCCCTGGGGCAGGGTGGTCTCAGAGGAGGCGCAGAGTGGACACGCCCCTGCTGACCGGTGACAGACTGGCGCTTCCCGAAGGCACCCGCACGCTGCTCTTCTATGGGAACATTTTCCTGTTTTCTGATTGGTTATTTAATAGTCAGGGAGGAAGAGTGTTTTCAGACAAGAGAACGAGGATGCTTACAAATAAAGGTGGATCTTGCCATGTCTCCCCCACTTACCCACGCCTCGGTGGCAGGCACATAATTGGAAGTTGGTAGCTCCAGCCTGCATGTTCCCAGATCACCTGTAAGAGTTCTTAAAACTCACCTAACACCTTCTTAAGTGGGACTTTGGCTGATTAAGTCACGAAGTTCACGAAGTTCCACGTGGGGTGGGACAAAGAGAGGAACGCAGAGGGACTCGGGTGAAGAAATGCCGACTTGCGTTGTCTGGTTGACAGAGGCCGGAGGGCGCCTCTCTGCTGGCATCTCAGGGTGTGACTGCTGTGAGCGGAGGCTTCCGCTGGTTTATGGAATGGCACCTCTGCCCACCCCAGCCAGAGGCTGGGGTCCCGGAAACAGACTGGGCCCTGAAGAGAACAGGAGCCCCCACGGTCCACACGGGAGCAGCCGCAGCCCACCACTGAGACTCCGGCCGCCGGCGGGGCCCTGCCCTCCTGGCCGGCTGCCACCGCAGCAGCAGGTCAGGAAGAGTTGGAACCGGTGGGTGCTGGGATTTGCGATATCCTCCACGCTCCCTGGGCAGAGTTCATTCTGAGCACCCCCACAGGCCGCCTGCCCTCACCAGAGAAGATTCTGTGAACCCTCTGGCGACACCTGGAGGTTTTGGACCTTCCCACACATGCGGCCACTCACTTCCCTGCGTGTCTCATCCTGAGTAGTCTGTTGGGGAAAATACGAAGGTCTCTGCATAGAAGCATGCAGAACATTATTCAAGCGACTGAAGCATTTGAAAGCTTATTTTGAGAAAGATTTAAAATATAAAAAATTAAAAAAATAACACTTCTTTCTACCAACCAGAATTAGCAATTTGAATATTTACCATGGGTATTTGTATATAAACTTATTTATTTATGAATTTAAACATTATAGGCCAATCGAGGTGTTGGGGAACTTTTTCAAAAGAGGACTGTGCTCATTCACTCATGAGGCTGAACGGTAGTGGTTCCAAGTCTGCTTTCTGAGGTCCTAGTCCCTCCTAGCACTTTGCACCTCTTGCATTGATAAGCGCCCCGGTTTTGAGCATAGTTGCACCAGGCAGCCTCGTGCACTAGGATGCTGCGTTCTCCTTGCTTGTACTTGGTCGGAGGGAGGACTGGCCACTGGCTCTGTGGGAAACAAACAGATTTCCTGATGTTTCCCTCGGAACGTGAAAGGAATGCTCCTTCACCCGAGGACAAGCCGCACCAGAATGGCCGTAACTCGGTGCCGAAGAAAAACAAACGCACAAAGCCGGCCTTAGAAGAAGGGCCTGGTGCACTGATAGACCTCAGCCGTGTGCTGTGATTCTGACTCCCCCAAGGACTGTGGGGTAACGGGGCACCAGTGGGGTGACCATCCCAAGTGGCAGTTGGACAGGGCAATGGCCGATGGCCACTCTGCGCTTTCTCTCCCAACTGGTGAGAAATCCCGAGCTTTGGGTGCCCAGCAGCACGCACCAACCTTTCCCTCAATACAAAGCCGCCATCGAATGCCACGGGCAGTGAAGGAACAGCCGGAGGGAGAGCAGCTGACTCGCCCTTCCCGTTTACAACAGCCTGGGCCAGGTCGTTCCCAGGTGCTCTCCCACTAAACCCGAAACAGCGTCTGGGCACCTCTGTTCCTGGCACCAGGCAGGTGCTGCTGTCCTTGGCCTTTCACAGATGAGGCCAGAGAACTGGGTAAAATGCAGAAGGGGGCGCAGTGAGGAGGCAGCGGGGCTGGGACACGCAGCCGCACAGCCTGGCGCCAGAATCCGTGGGTGGAGCCGAGAGAAGGCACGTTGCCTTGGGAGGGTGGCGAACGCCCGAGTCGACGGTGCAATGGGGTGACAGACGTGTGCTGGGAGCCCCGCTGTGGGGGGGTGAGGACAGAAGGAGCGACTAAAGTTGGGCTGCTTGGAGTGCAAGTGTGTGTCCGAAGGCCCTCGGGTCTCCTCGGCCAGCTCTCGGGGAGTCTGGTTTTCAAGGGTAAGGAGGCAATGGCTCTCAGAACTCAGGCTTTGCTTTTACATCATGAAGGATGTAATTATAAAGTGAATTCTGTGATTCCGTATGACTCAGTTCCACAGCACCTTTGGATATGGTCTTAACAGTGAAATACTGCGATGATAAACACAGTGGTCTGGGAAGATTTGGGGACAGTCTGGTGGAGTCTTGGGAACATTTAGGGCCACCGTGCTAACACCACGAGCACAGTCCATGTAAGGCAAAAAGAACAGAATTCATTCTCCCGGTGCCCGCCCTTTGCTGATCTGTCCCAGAGCAATAGGGAGGCATTAACACTCAAGAGGAGCTCCGTCTTTCACACCTGGGTGTCCCTCGTCAACCACCCAGAGACACCTGTAAAGAAGCGCCTGTGATTACGTGGATCGGCTGGGCACCAGGCCTGTGCTTTGCCATCCGGTGGCGGAATGGAGGGAGCCGAGGCGCTCACTCTGCACTCCCCTCCACGCGCGTTTCAGAGACTTGCAGATTCAAAACACACCTTCCTTGGAACTGCACATGCAAAGCCTCAGCCCAGGGCAGGCAGTGGCCCCTGGTAAATATTAGTTCTCTTCCCCTTTCTGCGGACTGAGGCAAGTCGTGGGAGTGAGGCAGCAGCAGTTCGGAAGGCGAGGAAGTGGCTGTTTCTCCCCGTCTTCATCTCCCCAAGTGCGGCCCAGATGCCAGGCTGCCTGGTGAGGACTCAGGGATGCGACGGCTTCCTTCTTCAGGCCTCACTGCTTCTCCCAGATGGAGAAGCCTCCCTTTCGGTGCACTTCTCAGATCTACCAAATGAGGACTGCGAAGAGCGCAGTAGAAGAATCTCAGGAACAAACCTACAGGACTTCTCCATGTATCATTTGGATATTCTTACTTTTAAGTTGGATACTGTCTCATCACATCATTGTCCTGGTCATATGATCGCAATAAAAATGAATGGAGAACCATAAGCAAACAGACATTTATTTTAAACTGCATTTTTCTGTTTTCTTATCAGACATTTACTGAGGGCCAGCTGTTAACCAGGCGCCAGACTAGTAGGTGTTGGGAATTCAGTGATTCATCAACTTCAGAAGGTTACGAACTTCAAAGAGACAGATGAATAAGAGTGTTACAGGGGATGTACAAGGTAGAAGAACCTGGAGGGCAAGAACAGTCTGCTCTGAATGAGGTGAAGAGGGAAGACGAGAGGTGATCTGTGAACTGTGTCTTGAAGAATGAGCAAAAGTTGTATCAGTAGGAAGGATATATTTAACTGACCCATTGAGGTTTCTCTCAGCTGGCATTAAGAGCTATTTTTCATTAAATATGCACAGAAAATTATTCTAATTGTTGAGTTAAGGGACATGGGACTGGAATTTAAAAATTAGGAAAAAAAGAGGATACAAAGGATGTGTGTGGTGGTTAATCCACAAGGTGACCCCCTTCCTCCCACCCGGGTAAGGGAGACCCCACTGCACCGCGGAGCCTGGGCTCTGCACTGCCGGGCCAGCTGAGTCACGTGTGCAAAAGGTGGCGTGTTTAAAGTGTTTAAAGAAGATGCTGGGAGGTAACAGGCAGCATCATTGATGTGATTTGACAGTTGCTGTGGCAACACACCCACTTCCAGAAAAGCAGCGTTAGTGGGAGGGCGGGAAGACTCCTGGCACTTGCCCTGGGCCGCCCTGGGCCTCACACTGCTTGCTGGGCCAAAAGTGCGGACAGATTCAAAAGGACAAATGTCCCACATGGCTGGTGGCCACCTGCCTTTTGTGAAACTGACTGTGGAATAAGATAAGGGGATGAGCAAGCCAGAGGAGAGACAACAGGGAAAACGGTGCAGAGGAGGAGGGGGAGGTCTGGGCAAGCACCGCCGACCCCTTTCAGGGAAACATGTACCCAGCGTTGTACTGGAAGATTTCGGATGACCCATGGGTTTCTATGAAAAAATGCATGTGGTATAAATGTATGGAGACTTCCATTTCCTTGCAGAAGCAGCGGAAAAGAATGCTTTGGGCATAAATAAAATAGTCCGTAGAGTAGCAAAAGGACTGGGGTTCATGAAAAATTGATTTTGACAAGTTTTGGCAGAAAAGCAGGGCGATTTCCTCTGGTGCGCCACCTTCTGGCAAGTTAGGGGTATGACATGATGTGAATGCTCCCCTCCTGGGTGGGTGGTGGGTGGGCTTCCTTACAAGCTTCAGTGTACCAGCTACTGACATCCAGGGGGGCTGTTTCCACCACTGGTTCTCAGCCTTGGCCTTACGTGAGGATCATTAGTGTATTCTTCTTCTTTTTTGAAAAAGTACCCCAAAGTACTTAATTACAAAAGTAATAGATGATTATTTTAAAGTCAAGTCAGAACTGTATAGGTTTGCCACACAACTGCCTAGTCCCCATTTGCAGATTAACTATGAACAGTTTCTTGGATACTCTTCCAGGCATTTTCTTTGTGCTTGTAAGCATTATATATGTTTATAAAAGTGATATGCATTTATAAAAATGTGCAGTTCTGACTTTAGTTTACAGTGATCATATATATAGTGTGCATGTAGGAATGTGGAAATATATGGATATGTGCTATACATAATGTTGTGTGACTTGCCTCTTTTACATAATATCTCTTGGATCTGCTTTCGTATTACTACATCTAGAGCTACCAGCTACATGAAATCCTATTTGCTGGACAATTATTTAACAAGTACTGTTAGCTTGTTTTCACCCATGGATGCCATTCTTCACATACTTGAATGGCACAGCTGAAGTTTAAATTCCTAGGTGTGGAATTCTTAGATGCTGGTTCAAAGTACACAGACTCTAAAAAAAAAAAATGTACTAGTTCAAACCCCCCACCAAGTACATGGGAAGGTTTGTTACTCTTCTATTAAACAAGCAAAAACAAAAAACAAAAACAGACCCCGGGCCCTATTTTCAGAGCTCTTAATGGTCGTGGATGAGGTGCTGAGCATCTGTCTTGTTGAAAACTCTACCAGGGGACCTGGTCCCTAGCCAGGCCGGACCCCGTGGCCTTAGGAGAAGGAGGTACTGTGAAGAGACAGTGCTTCTAAATCATGATGCCTTGGCCGTGTCCACTCAGATCCAAACAGCAAGACTTCCCTTAATGTGGTCGACTGGGAGAAA